GAGAATGAATACTCAAATTACTAATTCAACTCTACTTAAAAAGATTAATGAATTTAGTGACTAACACTGAATACCAAATTTTTTTATAAATTAAAATCCTAAAACTTCACGATTCATTAAAAAAAAAAAAAAACTTCACATGGTCTTGTTCAAAATGTTTTTGTTAATTTTATGTGTTTTTGATAGGTTTTTAACAAATCGTGACGTTGTACAAAATGTTAAATGCTTCAAAACCGTTCTTGTGTTAATTGTTATGTGTACATTTTTTTGTAGCATCTTCTGTTTTGATCAAATTATTTACATATTTCATTTAAATTAGAGAGAATTGTAAAAATACCAGATTTGCAAGAATGTCGGGTATCCATTTGCAAAAATGTCACTAATTATAGATTTTTAAAAGTTAAATCTTGACATTATAAACTCTAAAAAATATATTGACCACTAAAATCCCTTAAACCCTCAAAACTAAACCTAATACAACATAGTTAACCCAAACATAAATGATATAATGAAAAAATAATTTTTAAAAAGTGGTATTTTTGCAAAAATTTTTAAAATATGGTATTTTTGAAAAGTGGTATTTTTAAAAACTTCTCTTTAAATTAAATTAACTGATCGACAAAAATGGTTATATGAGCTTGACATCGTCAAAACTATATATAAATGAGCTCGATTAATATCTCTAACAAAATTTATAAGTTAAATCATGTTTGTAATAAGAATTTGTATCAATTTCTCATGGAGGATTTCGTCACATTTCAGTGATTGCAAAAGTTAGTACGTATAATTATTTTATACGAAAAATGTATTCCTTTGTTGAAAATTATACTTAATGTAATGATATAGAAAATACGAATTCTTTTCACGTGTCAAAAGAAATAAGTAATGAAATGGCGTCTGTGGGTCGGTAAAAAAAAGTTATCAATAGAATTTTTCTACAGAAAATAAATAAGTAAAGAAACAATTTTTTTTTTGTTGGTACTCGAATTTAAACAAAATAAAGGATTGTGTTGAAGTGTCACCTATTGCATTTGCATGGGAAGGGAATCACATTTGACGTTTTCTCGTGTGTAATTTTTCGGGTTTCCATTAATTTTCATAATTCACGTGTACAAATTATATATTGAAATTTTGCCCATTGTGCTTTGAACCCTTCGTTCTGTCTATGTATGAATCGAATCTGGTCAAATGTTAAATATTACAAATTTCCACCAAGAAACAGGAAAGAAAATGCAGAATCTGGTCAACTGTTTTTGTCCATTAGATGCAGATGTAGTACATAAAAATACCAATTGCAGGAAGTAGGAGACACTAATTATACTAAAAAGTGTTCTGTTTCTTTTACAGGCCCAAATGGGTAACTGGAAAAAGCCTGGCTTACAAATGGATCGAAGCTAGAAAACATGTGATAGTCACATAAATGTAGGATTGGAATCCGTTTTTAGACCTACACGGCTCCTCAAAAACAATCCGTTAGCTATAAGAAATTAGCAAAACATATATATAACAAGATGAAATTTTCAATAGTAAATTTTGATTTCTTCGCACTTACTTGAAACATTAGGGAATTGGATTTGCCCACAATTTACTTATCTTTACTACAAATTGATTGCATGGTTTACAAATTGAGAAAGTTTATATTGTTTGTAACTAAACTTTGATTTATATTGTTTGTAACTAAACTTTAGTTACAAAAAAAAGGTGATTAAGTTTTTGATTTTTAGGTAAAAATCTATTTAGACATTTTTTTTTATAAAAGATTTCTGGACATATATTTACTCTCTTTGTTTGTGTCCAATAGTAATCTTTTATGCATCGACACCATTTTTTTCAGATGAACATTTTTTATTAAACATGAGTTTTTATAAGGTTATTTTTCTTACTCTATAATTATTTTATATTTCGGGTTTTATACTATAAAAAATATTCGTATAGAGTCTCAAATATCTCATATCCGGTTCTGAACTAAAGAAAAAAATTCACCGGTCTTATTTTCAAAAAATTTATACATCTCTAAGTTGCGGTCTGAGTTTTATGTCTGTTAGTTTTTTTTTTTTAAACGTCTGTAATATATGAAAACACAGCTGGATTATTTTACAAAACACACAAAACATGATAGTATGATACAAGCAGAATATAACGCCATCGACTCCCAAAGCAAAAGGACTAAAGGATGCGTTAAAACGAAACATCTCGAAGAAGCCAATCATGAAGCCAAGAAGGACCACCAAGTGCCAGATACGATTGGAATCTCCCATCCCGAGTTACACTCTTTGCAATCTCCCGAGCTACGAAATTGGCCAAAAAAGACTCTATCTCAAAAGAGCATGAAACAAACTGAGATTGGAGGTACCTAATGTAGCTCAAGAAGACTCGATATCTTGGCCAGTCATNCGGTTTAGACAAAGAACGAAAAACTGTACATGAGTCCAAGGCAATGGTGACCTCGAGCACGTGCAGATCCAGAAGGCTCCTCATCACCCAAATAATGCCACGCATTTCCGCCACCATACGATTAGGAGAGGAGGTAAAAGCATCTCTTGCATGAAACCGTACATTACCTTTATGATCTCTTAATATCCAAGCTCCACCACCATGAGAATTCGTATTATGCCAAGTGAAATTAACATTGCATTTTAGAACGCCACAAATAGGAGGAAACCATTGTTGAGGACATGAATGATGAGGCAACGGTCGACAAGTCTCAGTTTCCGAAGGAGAATGAACTTCCCTCCATAATCTTGCTTCCTCAAAGGCTCTTGTAACCCAAATCCCCACCGGTTCCTGCGATTGAGCATAAAGGATAGAGTTGCGATTTTTCCAAATATTCCATAAGAGCCAAGGGATAACCTTCCTTACATCCTCCAANATATCTTGCTTCTCCATCAAGTCAAGAACGAAGGCAAGATTGTCTTCAAAAACTCTCGCAAAACCTGTGATTGAAACCGATATAGTAGCCTCCCTAAACATATCTTGCGCCGCACGACAGCCGAAAAGGACATGGTTTATGGTTTCGGGATGACTTTGACACAACTTACAATCAACATTCAAACCCAATCCTCTTGAGTTCAACCGATCAGCCACGGCTAAAGCTCCACTAACCGCCCGCCAAAGAAACATTTTTATCTTCGGTTGTGTATCCAATTTCCAAATACGTTTCTTGAGATCAAGTTGTTGTTGTTGGGAAGCCGAGAGAGGAACAGTAGCAATTAGGGGATGATTCGACACAAACCAATACCCACTTTTAACTGAGTACGCACCATTTTGAGTATAAGCCCATATAAACCGATCCTCCACACAACCAACTGATAAAGCTTCAATGCGTGAAACCTCATTTGGGGGAAACAAAATATTGAGCATTGATGATTTCCACGTACCATTAGGATATATCAACGCCGAGACCGCAAGATTAATGTCATATAAACTTTTCTTACTAACTGCACGTCTTGGATGTGTCTC